CATACAACCACTAGGTGGCAGCAGAAACAAGGGGTGAGTGTAACACTGACATATCACCCCCTTTTAAATTATTAGCAAAACAGTGTTTACACATTTAGCATCATCACTCTCTTGCTTGTTGTGTCATTGTTCACCTGCTAACTAGAGTTCCCAGCTACACAGTCTGTCTGCCTTCCTCTGTGGAACTTCTGTTAGTCCAGATTTTAACGTCTCCCCTGGACACTGTGTTGATCTTGTTCGTGCAAAAGGTATAGGGTCTTGTAGCTGAATGTGGGTAGATTTTCGATTTGATAGATTAATATTTGTGCCACAATTGTAGTGCATTAAAAGGAAAAACTACAATGAGTGTAAACCATGTTTTGGTAAACCTATACCTCTTTTCCTGCTCCTTTGCAGTCTGCATACAAGCAAACATAATGTATAATCAGCAAATGTTTATATAAGTACTCAACACTTACATACTGTATGTGAATCATACATGTGTTATCCCTAGTCGCTCAACCTGGATATTTATAGAGGTGGAAAGGCTGTTGATTCAACAGAATATTAAATACAAATAAATGAGAAGTGGATATACAATATTTATTAGCCAATTATTAAAGTAGTCACTCCTCGGGCTAGGGTTAGGGTTGGGCTTGGAGCTAGGATTTTTCTGAGTGCAATGAACCAACTCCCGAGTCTCTAGGACGTTCCTAAAAAAAATTGATTTTTTCCCATAGGAATGCATGGGTTAGGGTTAGGGTTAGGGTTGGAGCTAGGGTTAGGGTTAGGGTTAGGGTTGGAGTTAGGGTTAGTGTTGGAGCTAGGGTTAGGGTTGGGCTTGGAGCTAGGATTTTTCTGAGTGCAATGAACCAACTCCCGAGTCTCTAGGACGTTCCTAAAAAAATTTGATTTTTTCCCATAGGAATGCATGGGTTAGGGTTAGGGTTAGGGTTGGAGCTAGGGTTAGGGTTAGGGTTAGGGTTGGAGTTAGGGTTAGTGTTGAAGCTAGGGTTAGGGTTGGGCTTGGAGCTAGGATTTTTCTGAGTGCAATGAACCAACTCCTGAGTCTCTAGGACGTTCCTAAAAAAAATTGATTTTTTCCCATAGGAATGCATGGGTTAGGGTTAGGGTTAGGGTTGGAGCTAGGGTTAGGGTTAGGGTTGGAGTTAGGGTTAGTGTTGGAGCTAGGGTTAGGGTTGGGCTTGGAGCTAGGATTTTTCTGAGTGCAATGAACCAACTCCCGAGTCTCTAGGACGTTCCTAAAAAAATTTGATTTTTTTCCCATAGGAATGCATGGGTTAGGGTTAGGGTTAGGGTTGGAGCTAGGGTTAGGGTTAGGGTTAGGGTTGGAGTTAGGGTTAGTGTTGGAGCTAGGGTAAGGTTTGGGCTTGGAGCTAGGATTTTTCTGAGTGCAATGAACCAACTCCCGAGTCTCTAGGACGTTCCTAAAAAAATTTGATTTTTTCCCATAGGAATGCATGGGTTAGGGTTAGGGTTAGGGTTGGAGCTAGGGTTAGGGTTAGGGTTAGGGTTGGAGTTAGGGTTAGTGTTGGAGCTAGGGTTAGGGTTGGGCTTGGAGCTAGGATTTTTCTGAGTGCAATGAACCAACTCCCGAGTCTCTAGGACGTTCCTAAAAAAATTTGATTTTTTCCCATAGGAATGCATGGGTTAGGGTTAGGGTTAGGGTTGGAGCTAGGGTTAGGGTTAGGGTTAGGGTTGGAGTTAGGGTTAGTGTTGGAGCTAGGGTTAGGGTTGGGCTTGGAGCTAGGATTTTTCTGAGTGCAATGAACCAACTCCAGAGTCTCTAGGACGTTCCTAAAAAAATTTGATTTTTTCCCATAGGAATGCATGGGTTAGGGTTAGGGTTAGGGTTGGAGCTAGGGTTAGGGTTAGGGTTAGGGTTGGAGTTAGGGTTAGTGTTGGAGCTAGGGTTAGGGTTGGGCTTGGAGCTAGGATTTTTCTGAGTGCAATGAACCAACTCCCGAGTCTCTAGGACGTTCCTAAAAAAATTTGATTTTTTCCCATAGGAATGCATGGGTTAGGGTTAGGGTTAGGGTTGGAGCTAGGGTTAGGGTTAGGGTTAGGGTTGGAGTTAGGGTTAGTGTTGGAGCTAGGGTTAGGGTTGGGCTTGGAGCTAGGATTTTTCTGAGTGCAATGAACCAACTCCTGAGTCTCTAGGACGTTCCTAAAAAAATTGATTTTTTCCCATAGGAATGCATGGGTTAGGGTTAGGGTTAGGGTTGGAGCTAGGGTTAGGGTTAGGGTTAGGGTTGGAGTTAGGGTTAGTGTTGGAGCTAGGGTTAGGGTTGGGCTTGGAGCTAGGATTTTTCTGAGTGCACTGAACCAACTCCCGAGTCTCTAGGACGTTCCTAAAAAAATTTGATTTTTTCCCATAGGAATGCATGGGTTAGGGTTAGGGTTAGGGTTGGAGCTAGGGTTAGGGTTAGGGTTAGGGTTGGAGTTAGGGTTAGTGTTGGAGCTAGGGTTAGGGTTGGGCTTGGAGCTAGGATTTTTCTGAGTGCAATGAACCAACTCCCGAGTCTCTAGGAAGTTCCTAAAAAAATTTGATTTTTTCCCATAGGAATGCATGGGTTAGGGTTAGGGTTAGGGTTGGAGCTAGGGTTAGGGTTAGGGTTAGGGTTGGAGTTAGGGTTAGTGTTGGAGCTAGGGTTAGGGTTGGGCTTGGAGCTAGGATTTTTCTGAGTGCAATGAACCAACTCCCGAGTCTCTAGGACGTTCCTAAAAAAATTTGATTTTTTCCCATAGGAATGCATGGGTTAGGGTTAGGGTTGGAGCTAGGGTTAGGGTTAGGGTTAGGGTTGGAGTTAGGGTTAGTGTTGGAGCTAGGGTTAGGGTTGGGCTTGGAGCTAGGATTTTTCTGAGTGCAATGAACCAACTCCCGAGTCTCTAGGACGTTCCTAAAAAAATTTGATTTTTTCCCATAGGAATGCATGGGTTAGGGTTAGCGTTAGGGTTGGAGCTAGGGTTAGGGTTAGGGTTAGGGTTGGAGTTAGGGTTAGTGTTGGAGCTAGGGTTAGGGTTGGGCTTGGAGCTAGGATTTTTCTGAGTGCAGTGAACCAACTCCCGAGTCTCTAGGACGTTCCTAAAAAAATTTGATTTTTTCCCATAGGAATGCATGGGTTAGGGTTATGGTTAGGGTTAGGGTTGGAGCTAGGGTTAGGGTTAGGGTTAGGGTTGGAGTTAGGGTTAGTGTTGGAGCTAGGGTTAGGGTTGGGCTTGGAGCTAGGGTTTTTCTGAGTGCAATGAACCAACTCCCGAGTCTCTAGGACGTTCCTAAAAAAATTTGATTTTTTCCCATAGGAATGCATGGGTTAGGGTTAGGGTTAGGGTTGGAGCTAGGGTTAGGGTTAGGGTTAGGGTTGGAGTTAGGGTTAGTGTTGGAGCTAGGGTTAGGGTTGGGCTTGGAGCTAGGATTTTTCTGAGTGCAATGAACCAACTCCCGAGTCTCTAGGACGTTCCTAAAAAAATTTGAGTTTTTTCCCATAGGAATGCATGGGTTAGGGTTATGGTTAGGGTTAGGGTTGGAGCTAGGGTTAGGGTTAGGGTTAGGGTTGGAGTTAGGGTTAGTGTTGGAGCTAGGGTTAGGGTTGGGCTTGGAGCTAGGATTTTTCTGAGTGCAATGAACCAACCCCGAGTCTCTAGGACGTTCCTAAAAAAATTTGATTTTTTCCCATAGGAATGCATGGGTTAGGGTTAGGGTTAGGGTTGGAGCTAGGGTTAGGGTTAGGGTTAGGGTTGGAGTTAGGGTTAGTGTTGGAGCTAGGGTAAGGTTTGGGCTTGGAGCTAGGATTTTTCTGAGTGCAATGAACCAACTCCCGAGTCTCTAGGACGTTCCTAAAAAAATTTGATTTTTTTCCCATAGGAATGCATGGGTTAGGGTTAGGGTTAGGGTTGGAGCTAGGGTTAGGGTTAGGGTTAGGGTTGGAGTTAGGGTTAGTGTTGGAGCTAGGGTTAGGGTTGGGCTTGGAGCTAGGATTTTTCTGGGTGCAATGAACCAACTCCCGAGTCTCTAGGACGTTCCTAAAAAAATTTGATTTTTTCCCATAGGAATGCATGGGTTAGGGTTATGGTTAGGGTTAGGGTTGGAGCTAGGGTTAGGGTTAGGGTTAGGGTTGGAGTTAGGGTTAGTGTTGGAGCTAGGGTTAGGGTTGGGCTTGGAGCTAGGATTTTTCTGAGTGCAATGAACCAACTCCCGAGTCTCTAGGACGTTCCAAAAAAAATTTGATTTTTTCCCATAGGAATGCATGGGTTAGGGTTATGGTTAGGGTTGGAGCTAGGGTTAGGGTTAGGGTTAGGGTTGGAGTTAAGGTTAGTGTTGGAGCTAGGGTTAGGGTTGGGCTTGGAGCTAGGATTTTTCTGAGTGCAGTGAACCAACTCCCGAGTCTCTAGGACGTTCCTAAAAAAAATTGATTTTTTCCCATAGGAATGCATGGGTTAGGGTTAGGGTTAGGGTTAGGGTTGGAGCTAGGGTTAGGGTTAGGGTTAGGGTTGGAGTTAGGGTTAGTGTTGGAGCTAGGGTTAGGGTTGGGCTTGGAGCTAGGATTTTTCTGAGTGCAAAGAACCAACCCCCGAGTCTCTAGGACGTTCCTAAAAAAATTTGATTTTTTCCCATAGGAATGCATGGGTTAGGGTTATGGTTAGGGTTAGGGTTGGAGCTAGGGTTAGGGTTAGGGTTAGGGTTGGAGTTAGGGTTAGTGTTGGAGCTAGGGTTAGGGTTGGGCTTGGAGCTAGGATTTTTCTGAGTGCAATGAACCAACTCCCGAGTCTCTAGGACGTTCCTAAAAAAATTTGATTTTTTCCCATAGGAATGCATGGGTTAGGGTTAGGGTTAGGGTTGGAGCTATGGTTAGGGTTAGGGTTAGGGTTGGAGTTAGGGTTAGTGTTGGAGCTAGGGTTAGGGTTGGGCTTGGAGCTAGGATTTTTCTGAGTGCAATGAACCAACTCCCGAGTCTCTAGGACGTTCCTAAAAAAATTGGATTTTTTCCCATAGGAATGCATGGGTCAGGGTTAGGTTTAGGGTTGGAGCTAGGGTTAGGGTTAGGGTTAGTGTTGGAGCTAGGGTTAGGGTTGGGCTTGGAGCTAGGATTTGTCTGAGTGCAATGAACCAACTCCCGAGTCTCTAGGACGTTCCTAAAAAAATTTGATTTTTTCCCATAGGAATGCATGGGTTAGGGTTAGGGTTAGGGTTGGAGCTAGGGTTAGGGTTAGGGTTAGGGTTGGAGTTAAGGTTAGTGTTGGAGCTAGGGTTAGGGTTGGGCTTGGAGCTAGGATTTTTCTGAGTGCAGTGAACCAACTCCCGAGTCTCTAGGACGTTCCTAAAAAAATTTGATTTTTTCCCATAGGAATGCATGGGTTAGGGTTATGGTTAGGGTTAGGGTTGGAGCTAGGGTTAGGGTTAGGGTTAGGGTTGGAGTTAGGGTTAGTGTTGGAGCTAGGGTTAGGGTTGGGCTTGGAGCTAGGATTTTTCTGAGTGCAATGAACCAACCCCCGAGTCTCTAGGACGTTCCTAGAAAAATTTGATTTTTTCCCATAGGAATGCATGGGTTAGGGTTATGGTTAGGGTTAGGGTTGGAGCTAGGGTTAGGGTTAGGGTTAGGGTTGGAGTTAGGGTTAGTGTTGGAGCTAGGGTTAGGGTTGGGCTTGGAGCTAGGATTTTTCTGAGTGCAATGAACCAACTCCCGAGTCTCTAGGACGTTCCTAAAAAAATTTGATTTTTTCCCATAGGAATGCATGGGTTAGGGTTAGGGTTAGGGTTGGAGCTAGGGTTAGGGTTAGGGTTGGAGTTAGGGTTAGTGTTGGAGCTAGGGTTAGGGTTGGGCTTGGAGCTAGGATTTTTCTGAGTGCAATGAACCAACTCCCGAGTCTCTAGGACGTTCCTAAAAAAATTTGATTTTTCCCATAGGAATGCATGGGTCAGGGTTAGGGTTAGGGTTGGAGCTAGGGTTAGGGTTAGGGTTAGGGTTGGAGTTAGGGTTAGTGTTGGAGCTAGGGTTAGGGTTGGGCTTGGAGCTAGGATTTTTCTGAGTGCACTGAACCAACTCCCGAGTCTCTAGGACATTCCTAAAAAAATTTGATTTTTTCCCATAGGAATGCATGGGTTAGGGTTAGGGTTAGGGTTGGAGCTAGGGTTAGGGTTAGGGTTAGGGTTGGAGTTAGGGTTAGTGTTGGAGCTAGGGTTAGGGTTGGGCTTGGAGCTAGGATTTTTCTGAGTGCACTGAACCAACTCCCGAGTCTCTAGGACATTCCTAAAAAAATTTGATTTTTTCCCATAGGAATGCATGGGTTAGGGTTATGGTTAGGGTTAGGGTTGGAGCTAGGGTTAGGGTTAGGGTTAGGGTTGGAGTTAGGGTTAGGGTTAGTGTTGGAGCTAGGGTTAGGGTTGGGCTTGGAGCTAGGATTTTTCTGAGTGCAATGAACCAACTCCCGAGTCTCTAGGACGTTCCCTAAAAAAATTTGATTTTTTCCCATAGGAATGCATGGGTTAGGGTTAGGGTTAGGGTTAGGGTTGGAGCTAGGGTTAGGGTTAGGGTTAGGGTTGGAGTTAGGGTTAGTGTTGGAGCTAGGGTTAGGGTTGGGCTTGGAGCTAGGATTTTTCTGAGTGCAATGAACCAACTCCCGAGTCTCTAGGACGTTCCAAAAAAAATTTGATTTTTTCCCATAGGAATGCATGGGTTAGGGTTATGGTTAGGGTTAGGGTTGGAGCTAGGGTTAGGGTTAGGGTTAGGGTTGGAGTTAGGGTTAGTGTTGGCGCTAGGGTTAGGGTTGGGCTTGGAGCTAGGATTTTTCTGAGTGCAATGAACCAACTCCCGAGTCTCTAGGACGTTCCTAAAAAAATTTGATTTTTTCCCATAGGAATGCATGGGTTAGGGTTAGGGTTAGGGTTGGAGCTAGGGTTAGGGTTAGGGTTAGGGTTGGAGTTAGGGTTAGTGTTGGAGCTAGGGTTAGGGTTGGGCTTGGAGCTAGGATTTTTCTGAGTGCACTGAACCAACTCCCGAGTCTCTAGGACATTCCTAAAAAAATTTGATTTTTTTCCCATAGGAATGCATGGGTTAGGGTTATGGTTAGGGTTAGGGTTGGAGCTAGGGTTAGGGTTAGGGTTAGGGTTGGAGTTAGGGTTAGTGTTGGAGCTAGGGTTAGGGTTGGGCTTGGAGCTAGGACTTTTCTGAGTGCAATGAACCAACTCCCGAGTCTCTAGGACGTTCCCTAAAAAAATTTGATTTTTTCCCATAGGAATGCATGGGTTAGGGTTAGGGTTAGGGTTGGAGCTAGGGTTAGGGTTAGGGTTAGGGTTGGAGTTAGGGTTAGTGTTGGAGCTAGGGTTAGGGTTGGGCTTGGAGCTAGGATTTTTCTGAGTGCAATGAACCAACTCCCGAGTCTCTAGGACGTTCCTAAAAAAATTTGATTTTTTCCCATAGGAATGCATGGGTTAGGGTTAGGGTTAGGGTTGGAGCTAGGGTTAGGGTTAGGGTTAGGGTTGGAGTTAGGGTTAGTGTTGGAGCTAGGGTTAGGGTTGGGCTTGGAGCTAGGATTTTTCTGAGTGCAATGAACAAACTCCCGAGTCTCTAGGAAGTTCCTAAAAAAATTTGATTTTTTCCCATAGGAATGCATGGGTTAGGGTTAGGGTTAGGGTTGGAGCTAGGGTTAGGGTTAGGGTTAGGGTTGGAGTTAGGGTTAGTGTTGGAGCTAGGGTTAGGGTTGGGCTTGGAGCTAGGATTTTTCTGAGTGCAGTGAACCAACTCCCGAGTCTCTAGGACGTTCCTAAAAAAATTTGATTTTTTCCCATAGGAATGCATGGGTCAGGGTTAGGGTTAGGGTTGGAGCTAGGGTTAGGGTTAGGGTTAGGGTTGGAGTTAGGGTTAGTGTTGGAGCTAGGGTTAGGGTTGGGCTTGGAGCTAGGATTTTTCTGAGTGCAATGAACCAACTCCCGAGTCTCTAGGACGTTCCTAAAAAAATTTGATTTTTTCCCATAGGAATGCATGGGTTAGGGTTAGGGTTAGGGTTGGAGCTAGGGTTAGGGTTAGGGTTAGGGTTGGAGTTAGGGTTAGTGTTAGAGCTAGGGTAAGGTTTGGGCTTGGAGCTAGGATTTTTCTGAGTGCAATGAACCAACTCCCGAGTCTCTAGGACGTTCCTAAAAAAATTTGATTTTTTCCCATAGGAATGCATGGGTTAGGGTTAGGGTTAGGGTTGGAGCTAGGGTTAGGGTTAGGGTTAGGGTTGGAGTTAGGGTTAGTGTTGGAGCTAGGGTTAGGGTTGGGCTTGGAGCTAGGATTTTTCTGAGTGCAATGAACCAACTCCCGAGTCTCTAGGACGTTCCTAAAAAAATTTGATTTTTTCCCATAGGAATGCATGGGTTAGGGTTAGGGTTGGAGCTAGTGTTAGGGTTAGGGTTGGAGCTAGGGTTAGGGTTAGGGTTAGGGTTGGAGTTAGGGTTAGTGTTGGAGCTAGGGTTAGGTTTGGGCTTGGAGCTAGGATTTTTCTGAGTGCAATGAACCAACTCCCGAGTCTCTAGGACGTTCCTATAAAAATTTGATTTTTTCCCATAGGAATGCATGGGTTAGGGTTAGGGTTAGGGTTGGAGCTAGGGTTAGGGTTAGGGTTAGGGTTGGAGTTAGGGTTAGTGTTGGAGCTAGGGTTAGGGTTGGGCTTGGAGCTAGGATTTTTCTGAGTGCAATGAACCAACTCCCGAGTCTCTAGGACGTTCCTAAAAAAATTTGATTTTTTCCCATAGGAATGCATGGGTTAGGGTTATGGTTAGGGTTAGGGTTGGAGCTAGGGTTAGGGTTAGGGTTAGGGTTGGAGTTAGGGTTAGTGTTGGAGCTAGGGTTAGGGTTGGGCTTGGAGCTAGGACTTTTCTGAGTGCAATGAACCAACTCCCGAGTCTCTAGGACGTTCCCTAAAAAAATTTGATTTTTTCCCATAGGAATGCATGGGTTAGGGTTAGGGTTAGGGTTGGAGCTAGGGTTAGGGTTAGGGTTAGGGTTGGAGTTAGGGTTAGTGTTGGAGCTAGGGTTAGGGTTGGGCTTGGAGCTAGGATTTTTCTGAGTGCAATGAACCAACTCCCGAGTCTCTAGGACGTTCCTAAAAAAATTTGATTTTTTCCCATAGGAATGCATGGGTTAGGGTTAGGGTTAGGGTTGGAGCTAGGGTTAGGGTTAGGGTTAGGGTTGGAGTTAGGGTTAGTGTTGGAGCTAGGGTTAGGGTTGGGCTTGGAGCTAGGATTTTTCTGAGTGCAATGAACCAACTCCCGAGTCTCTAGGAAGTTCCTAAAAAAATTTGATTTTTTCCCATAGGAATGCATGGGTTAGGGTTAGGGTTAGGGTTGGAGCTAGGGTTAGGGTTAGGGTTAGGGTTGGAGTTAGGGTTAGTGTTGGAGCGAGGGTTAGGGTTGGGCTTGGAGCTAGGATTTTTCTGAGTGCAGTGAACCAACTCCCGAGTCTCTAGGACGTTCCTAAAAAAATTTGATTTTTTCCCATAGGAATGCATGGGTCAGGGTTAGGGTTAGGGTTGGAGCTAGGGTTAGGGTTAGGGTTAGGGTTGGAGTTAGGGTTAGTGTTGGAGCTAGGGTTAGGGTTGGGCTTGGAGCTAGGATTTTTCTGAGTGCAATGAACCAACTCCCGAGTCTCTAGGACGTTCCTAAAAAAATTTGATTTTTTCCCATAGGAATGCATGGGTTAGGGTTAGGGTTAGGGTTGGAGCTAGGGTTAGGGTTAGGGTTAGGGTTGGAGTTAGGGTTAGTGTTAGAGCTAGGGTAAGGTTTGGGCTTGGAGCTAGGATTTTTCTGAGTGCAATGAACCAACTCCCGAGTCTCTAGGACGTTCCTAAAAAAATTTGATTTTTTCCCATAGGAATGCATGGGTTAGGGTTAGGGTTAGGGTTGGAGCTAGGGTTAGGGTTAGGGTTAGGGTTGCAGTTAGGGTTAGTGTTGGAGCTAGGGTAAGGGTTGGGCTTGGAGCTAGGATTTTTCTGAGTGCAATGAACCAACTCCCGAGTCTCTAGGACGTTCCTAAAAAAATTTGATTTTTTTCCATAGGAATGCATGGGTTAGGGTTAGGGTTGGAGCTAGTGTTAGGGTTAGGGTTGGAGCTAGGGTTAGGGTTAGGGTTAGGGTTGGAGTTAGGGTAAGTGTTGGAGCTAGGGTTAGGTTTGGGCTTGGAGCTAGGATTTTTCTGAGTGCAATGAACCAACTCCCGAGTCTCTAGGACGTTCCTATAAAAATTTGATTTTTTCCCATAGGAATGCATGGGTTAGGGTTAGGGTTAGGGTTGGAGCTAGGGTTAGGGTTAGGGTTAGGGTTGGAGTTAGGGTTAGTGTTGGAGCTAGGGTTAGGGTTGGGCTTGGAGCTAGGATTTTTCTGAGTGCAATGAACCAACTCCCGAGTCTCTAGGACGTTCCTAAAAAAATTTGATTTTTTCCCATAGGAATGCATGGGTTAGGGTTAGGGTTAGGGTTGGAGCTAGGGTTAGGGTTAGGGTTAGGGTTGGAGTTAAGGTTAGTGTTGGAGCTAGGGTTAGGGTTGGGCTTGGAGCTAGGATTTTTCTGAGTGCAGTGAACCAACTCCCGAGTCTCTAGGACGTTCCTAAAAAAATTTGATTTTTTCCCATAGGAATGCATGGGTTAGGGTTATGGTTAGGGTTAGGGTTGGAGCTAGGGTTAGGGTTAGGGTTAGGGTTGGAGTTAGGGTTAGTGTTGGAGCTAGGGTTAGGGTTGGGCTTGGAGCTAGGATTTTTCTGAGTGCAATGAACCAACTCCCGAGTCTCTAGGACGTTCCTAAAAAAATTTGATTTTTTCCCATAGGAATGCATGGGTTAGGGTTATGGTTAGGGTTAGGGTTGGAGCTAGGGTTAGGGTTAGGGTTAGGGTTGGAGTTAGGGTTAATGTTGGAGCTAGGGTTAGGGTTGGGCTTGGAGATAGGATTTTTCTGAGTGCAATGAACCAACTCCCGAGTCTCTAGGACGTTCCTAAAAAAAATTGATTTTTTCCCATAGGAATGCATGGGTTAGGGTTAGGGTTAGGGTTGGAGCTAGGGTTAGGGTTAGGGTTGGAGTTAGGGTTAGTGTTGGAGCTAGGGTTAGGGTTGGGCTTGGAGCTAGGATTTTTCTGAGTGCACTGAACCAACTCCCGAGTCTCTAGGACATTCCTAAAAAAATTTGATTTTTTTCCCATAGGAATGCATGGGTTAGGGTTATGGTTAGGGTTAGGGTTGGAGCTAGGGTTAGGGTTAGGGTTAGGGTTGGAGTTAGGGTTAGTGTTGGAGCTAGGGTTAGGGTTGGGCTTGGAGCTAGGATTTTTCTGAGTGCAATGAACCAACTCCCGAGTCTCTTGGACGTTCCTAAAAAAATTTGATTTTTTCCCATAGGAATGCATGGGTTAGGGTTAGGGTTAGGGTTGGAGCTAGGGTTAGGGTTAGGGTTGGAGTTAGGGTTAGTGTTGGAGCTAGGGTTAGGGTTGGGCTTGGAGCTAGGATTTTTCTGAGTGCAATGAACCAACTCCCGAGTCTCTAGGACGTTCCTAAAAAAATTTGAGTTTTTCCCATAGGAATGCATGGGTTAGGGTTATGGTTAGGGTTGGAGCTAGGGTTAGGGTTAGGGTTAGGGTTGGAGTTAGGGTTAGTGTTGGAGCTAGGGTTAGGGTTGGGCTTGGAGCTAGGATTTTTCTGAGTGCAATGAACCAACTCCCGAGTCTCTAGGACGTTCCTAAAAAAATTTGATTTTTTCCCATAGGAATGCATGGGTTAGGGTTAGGGTTAGGGTTGGAGCTAGGGTTAGGGTTAGGGTTAGGGTTGGAGTTAGGGTTAGTGTTGGAGCTAGGGTAAGGTTTGGGCTTGGAGCTAGGATTTTTCTGAGTGCAATGAACCAACTCCCGAGTCTCTAGGACGTTCCTAAAAAAATTTGATTTTTTTCCCATAGGAATGCATGGGTTAGGGTTAGGGTTAGGGTTGGAGCTAGGGTTAGGGTTAGGGTTAGGGTTGGAGTTAGGGTTAGTGTTGGAGCTAGGGTTAGGGTTGGGCTTGGAGCTAGGATTTTTCTGGGTGCAATGAACCAACTCCCGACTCTCTAGGACGTTCCTAAAAAAATTTGATTTTTTCCCATAGGAATGCATGGGTTAGGGTTATGGTTAGGGTTAGGGTTGGAGCTAGGGTTAGGGTTAGGGTTAGGGTTGGAGTTAGGGTTAGTGTTGGAGCTAGGGTTAGGGTTGGGCTTGGAGCTAGGATTTTTCTGAGTGCAATGAACCAACTCCCGAGTCTCGAGGACGTTCCAAAAAAAATTTGATTTTTTCCCATAGGAATGCATGGGTTAGGGTTATGGTTAGGGTTGGAGCTAGGGTTAGGGTTAGGGTTAGGGTTGGAGTTAAGGTTAGTGTTGGAGCTAGGGTTAGGGTTGGGCTTGGAGCTAGGATTTTTCTGAGTGCAGTGAACCAACTCCCGAGTCTCTAGGACGTTCCTAAAAAAATTTGATTTTTTCCCATAGGAATGCATGGGTTAGGGTTATGGTTAGGGTTAGGGTTGGAGCTAGGGTTAGGGTTAGGGTTAGGGTTGGAGTTAGGGTTAGTGTTGGAGCTAGGGTTAGGGTTGGGCTTGGTACTAGGATTTTTCTGAGTGCAATGAACCAACCCCCGAGTCTCTAGGACGTTCCTAAAAAAATTAGATTTTTTCCCATAGGAATGCATGGGTTAGGGTTATGGTTAGGGTTAGGGTTGGAGCTAGGGTTAGGGTTAGGGTTAGGGTTGGAGCTAGGGTTAGGGTTAGGGTTAGGGTTGGAGTTAGGGTTAGTGTTGGAGCTAGGGTTAGGGTTGGGCTTGGAGCTAGGATTTTTCTGAGTGCAATGAACCAACTCCCGAGTCTCTAGGACGTTCCTAAAAAAATGTGAGTTTTTCCCATAGGAATGCATGGGTTAGGGTTAGGGTTAGGGTTGGAGCTAGGGTTAGGGTTAGGGTTAGGGTTGGAGTTAGGGTTAGTGTTGGAGCTAGGGTTAGGGTTGGGCTTGGAGCTAGGATTTTTCTGAGTGCAATGAACCAACTCCCGAGTCTCTAGGACGTTCCTAAAAAAATTTGATTTTTTCCCATAGGAATGCATGGGTTAGGGTTAGGGTTAGGGTTAGGGTTGGAGCTAGGGTTAGGGTTAGGGTTAGGGTTGGAGTTAGGGTTAGTGTTGGAGCTAGGGTTAGGGTTGGGCTTGGAGCTAGGATTTTTCTGAGTGCAATGAACCAACTCCCGAGTCTCTAGGACGTTCCAAAAAAAATTTGATTTTTTCCCATAGGAATGCATGGGTTAGGGTTAGGGTTAGGGTTGGAGCTAGGGTTAGGGTTAGGGTTAGGGTTGGAGTTATGGTTAGTGTTGGAGCTAGGGTTAGGGTTTGGCTTGGAGCTAGGATTTTTCTGAGTGCAGTGAACCAACTCCCGAGTCTCTAGGACGTTCCTAAAAAAATTTGATTTTTTCCCATAGGAATGCATGGGTTAGGGTTATGGTTAGGGTTAGGGTTGGAGCTAGGGTTAGGGTTAGGGTTAGGGTTGGAGTTAGGGTTAGTGTTGGAGCTAGGGTTAGGGTTGGGCTTGGAGCTAGGATTTTTCTGAGTGCAATGAACCAACTCCCGAGTCTCTAGGACGTTCCTAAAAAAATTTGATTTTTTCCCATAGGAATGCATGGGTTAGGGTTATGGTTATGGTTAGGGTTGGAGCTAGGGTTAGGGTTAGGGTTAGGGTTGGAGTTAGGGTTAGTGTTGGAGCTAGGGTTAGGGTTGGGCTTGGAGCTAGGATTTTTCTGAGTGCAATGAACCAACTCCCGAGTCTCTAGGACGTTCCTAAAAAAATTTGATTTTTTCCCATAGGAATGCATGGGTCAGGGTTAGGGTTAGGGTTGGAGCTAGGGTTAGGGTTAGGGTTAGGGTTGGAGTTAGGGTTAGTGTTGGAGCTAGGGTTAGGGTTGGGCTTGGAGCTAGGATTTTTCTGAGTGCACTGAACCAACTCCCGAGTCTCTAGGACATTCCTAAAAAATTTGATTTTTTCCCATAGGAATGCATGGGTTAGGGTTAGGGTTAGGGTTGGAGCTAGGGTTAGGGTTAGGGTTAGGGTTGGAGTTAGGGTTAGTGTTGGAGCTAGGGTTAGGGTTGGGCTTGGAGCTAGGATTTTTCTGAGTGCAATGAACCAACTCCCGAGTCTCTAGGACGTTCCTAAAAAAATTTGATTTTTTCCCATAGGAATGCATGGGTTAGGGTTAGGGTTAGGGTTGGAGCTAGGGTTAGGGTTAGGGTTAGGGTTAGGGTTGGAGTTAGGGTTAGTGTTGGAGCTAGGGTTAGGGTTGGGCTTGGAGCTAGGATTTTTCTGAGTGCACTGAACCAACTCCCGAGTCTCTAGGACATTCCTAAAAAAATTTGATTTTTTCCCATAGGAATGCATGGGTTAGGGTTAGGGTTAGGGTTGGAGCTAGGGTTAGGGTTAGGGTTAGGGTTGGAGTTAGGGTTAGTGTTGGAGCTAGGTTTAGGGTTGGGCTTGGAGCTAGGATTTTTCTGAGTGCACTGAACCAACTCCCGAGTCTCTAGGACATTCCTAAAAAAATTTGATTTTTTCCCATAGGAATGCATGGGTTAGGGTTAGGGTTAGGGTTGGAGCTAGGGTTAGGGTTAGGGTTAGGGTTGGAGTTAGGGTTAGTGTTGGAGCTAGGGTTAGGGTTGGGCTTGGAGCTAGGATTTTTCTGAGTGCAATGAACCAACTCCCGAGTCTCTAGGACGTTCCTAAAAAAATTTGATTTTTTCCCATAGGAATGCATGGGTTATGGTTAGGGTTAGGGTTGGAGCTAGGGTTAGGGTTAGGGTTAGGGTTAGGGTTGGAGTTAGGGTTAGTGTTGGGGCTAGGGTTAGGGTTGGGCTTGGAGCTAGGATTTTTCTGAGTGCAATGAACCAACTCCCGAGTCTCTAGGACGTTCCTAAAAAAATTTGATTTTTTCCCATAGGAATGCATGGGTTAGGGTTAGGGTTAGGGTTGGAGCTAGGGTTAGGGTTAGGGTTAGGGTTGGAGATAGGGTTAGTGTTGGAGCTAGGGTTAGGGTTGGGCTTGGAGCTAGGATTTTTCTGAGTGCAATGAACCAACTCCCGAGTCTCTAGGACGTTCCTAAAAAAATTTGTTTTTTTCCCATAGGAATGCATGGGTCAGGGTTAGGGTTAGGGTTGGAGCTAGGGTTAGGGTTAGGGTTAGGGTTGGAGTTAGGGTTAGTGTTGGAGCTAGGGTTAGGGTTGGGCTTGGAGCTAGGATTTTTCTGAGTGCACTGAACCAACTCCCGAGTCTCTAGGACATTCCTAAAAAAATTTGATTTTTTCCCATAGGAATGCATGGGTTAGGGTTAGGGTTAGGGTTGGAGCTAGGGTTAGGGTTAGGGTTAGGGTTGGAGTTAGGGTTAGTGTTGGAGCTAGGGTTAGGGTTGGGCTTGGAGCTAGGATTTTTCTGAGTGCACTGAACCAACTCCCGAGTCTCTAGGACATTCCTAAAAAAATTTGATTTTTTCCCATAGGAATGCATGGGTTAGGGTTATGGTTAGGGTTAGGGTTGGAGCTAGGGTTAGGGTTAGGGTTAGGGTTGGAGTTAGGGTTGGTGTTGGAGCTAGGGTTAGGGTTGGGCTTTGAGCTAGGACTTTTCTGAGTGCAATGAACCAACTCCCGAGTCTCTAGGACGTTCCCTAAAAAAATTTGATTTTTTCCCATAGGAATGCATGGGTTAGGGTTAGGGTTAGGGTTAGGGTTGGAGCTAGGGTTAGGGTTAGGGTTAGGGTTGGAGTTAGGGTTAGTGTTGGAGCTAGGGTTAGGGTTGGGCTTGGAGCTAGGATTTTTCTGAGTGCAATGAACCAACTCCCGAGTCTCTAGGACGTTCCAAAAAAAATTTGATTTTTTCCCATAGGAATGCATGGGTTAGGGTTATGGTTAGGGTTAGGGTTGGAGCTAGGGTTAGGGTTAGGGTTAGGGTTGGAGTTAGGGTTAGTGTTGGAGCTAGGGTTAGGGTTGGGCTTGGAGCTAGGATTTTTCTGAGTGCAATGAACCAACTCCCGAGTCTCTAGGACGTTCCTAAAAAAATTTGATTTTTTCCCATAGGAATGCATGGGTTAGGGTTAGGGTTAGGGTTGGAGCTAGGGTTAGGGTTAGGGTTAGGGTTGGAGATAGGGTTAGTGTTGGAGCTAGGGTTAGGGTTGGGCTTGGAGCTAGGATTTTTCTGAGTGCAATGAACCAACTCCCGAGTCTCTAGGACGTTCCTAAAAAAATTTGATTTTTTCCCATAGGAATGCATGGGTCAGGGTTAGGGTTAGGGTTGGAGCTAGGGTTAGGGTTAGGGTTAGGGTTGGAGTTAGGGTTAGTGTTGGAGCTAGGGTTAGGGTTGGGCTTGGAGCTAGGATTTTTCTGAGTGCACTGAACCAACTCCCGAGTCTCTAGGACATTCCTAAAAAAATTTGATTTTTTCCCATAGGAATGCATGGGTTAGGGTTAGGGTTAGGGTTGGAGCTAGGGTTAGGGTTAGGGTTAGGGTTGGAGTTAGGGTTAGTGTTGGAGCTAGGGTTAGGGTTGGGCTTGGAGCTAGGATTTTTCTGAGTGCACTGAACCAACTCCCGAGTCTCTAGGACATTCCTAAAAAAATTTGATTTTTTCCCATAGGAATGCATGGGTTAGGGTTATGGTTAGGGTTAGGGTTGGAGCTAGGGTTAGGGTTAGGGTTAGGGTTGGAGTTAGGGTTGGTGTTGGAGCTAGGGTTAGGGTTGGGCTTTGGAGCTAGGACTTTTCTGAGTGCAATGAACCAACTCCCGAGTCTCTAGGACGTTCCCTAAAAAAATTTGATTTTTTCCCATAGGAATGCATGGGTTAGGGTTAGGGTTAGGGTTAGGGTTGGAGCTAGGGTTAGGGTTAGGGTTAGGGTTGGAGTTAGGGTTAGGGTTAGGGTTAGGGTTGGAGTTAGGGTTAGTGTTGGAGCTAGGGTTAGGGTTGGGCTTGGAGCTAGGATTTTTCTGAGTGCAATGAACCAACTCCCGAGTCTCTAGGACATTCCTAAAAAAAATTGATTTTTTCCCATAGGAATGCATGGGTTAGGGTTATGGTTAGGGTTAGGGTTGGAGCAAGGGTTAGGGTTAGGGTTAGGGTTGGAGTTAGGGTTAGTGTTGGAGCTAGGGTTAGGGTTGGGCTTGGAGCTAGGACTTTTCTGAGTGCAATGAACCAACTCCCGAGTCTCTAGGACGTTCCCTAAAAAAATTTGATTTTTTCCCATAGGAATGCATGGGTTAGGGTTAGGGTTAGGGTTGGAGCTAGGGTTAGGGTTAGGGTTAGGGTTGGAGTTAGGGTTAGTGTTGGAGCTAGGGTTAGGGTTGGGCTTGGAGCTAGGATTTTTCTGAGTGCAATGAACCAACTCCCGAGTCTCTAGGACGTTCCTAAAAAATTTTGATTTTTTCCCATAGGAATGCATGGGTTAGGGTTAGGGTTAGGGTTAGGGTTGGAGCTAGGGTTAGGGTTAGGGTTAGGGTTGGAGTTAGGGTTAGTGTTGGAGCTAGGGTTAGGGTTGGGCTTGGAGCTAGGATTTTTCTGAGTGCAATGAACCAACTCCCGAGTCTCTAGGACGTTCCAAAAAAAATTTGATTTTTTCCCATAGGAATGCATGGGTTAGGGTTAGGGTTAGGGTTGGAGCTAGGGTTAGGGTTAGGGTTAGGGTTGGAGTTAAGGTTAGTGTTGGAGCTAGGGTTAGGGTTTGGCTTGGAGCTAGGATTTTTCTGAGTGCAGTGAACCAACTCCCGAGTCTCTAGGACGTTCCTAAAAAAATTTGATTTTTTCCCATAGGAATGCATGGGTTAGGGTTATGGTTAGGGTTAGGGTTGGAGCTAGGGTTAGGGTTAGGGTTAGGGTTGGAGTTAGGGTTAGTGTTGGAGCTAGGGTTAGGGTTGGGCTTGGAGCTAGGATTTTTCTGAGTGCAATGAACCAACTCCCGAGTCTCTAGGACGTTCCTAAAAAAATTTGATTTTTTCCCATAGGAATGCATGGGTTAGGGTTATGGTTAGGGTTAGGGTTGGAGCTAGGGTTAGGGTTAGGGTTAGGGTTAGGGTTGGAGTTAGGGTTAGTGTTGGAGCTAGGGTTAGGGTTGGGCTTGGAGCTAGGATTTTTCTGAGTGCAATGAACCAACTCCCGAGTCTCTAGGACGTTCCTAAAAAAATTTGATTTTTTCCCATAGGAATGCATGGGTCAGGGTTAGGGTTAGGGTTGGAGCTAGGGTTAGGGTTAGGGTTAGGGTTGGAGTTAGGGTTAGTGTTGGAGCTAGGGTTAGGGTTGGGCTTGGAGCTAGGATTTTTCTGAGTGCACTGAACCAACTCCCGAGTCTCTAGGACATTCCTAAAAAAATTTGATTTTTTCCCATAGGAATGCATGGGTTAGGGTTAGGGTTAGGGTTGGAGCTAGGGTTGGGGTTAGGGTTAGGGTTGGAGTTAGGGTTAGTGTTGGAGCTAGGGTTAGGGTTGGGCTTGGAGCTAGGATTTTTCTGAGTGCAATGAACCAACTCCCGAGTCTCTAGGACGTTCCTAAAAAAATTTGATTTTTTCCCATAGGAATGCATGGGTTAGGGTTAGGGTTAGGGTTGGAGCTAGGGTTAGGGTTAGGGTTAGGGTTAGGGTTGGAGTTAGGGTTAGTGTTGGAGCTAGGGTTAGGGTTGGGCTTGGAGCTAGGATTTTTCTGAGTGCACTGAACCAACTCCCGAGTCTCTAGGACATTCCTAAAAAAATTTGATTTTTTCCCATAGGAATGCATGGGTTAGGGTTAGGGTTAGGGTTGGAGCTAGGGTTAGGGTTAGGGTTAGGGTTGGAGTTAGGGTTAGTGTTGGAGCTAGGTTTAGGGTTGGGCTTGGAGCTAGGATTTTTCTGAGTGCACTGAACCAACTCCCGAGTCTCTAGGACATTCCTAAAAAAATTTGATTTTTTCCCATAGGAATGCATGGGTTAGGGTTAGGGTTAGGGTTGGAGCTAGGGTTAGGGTTAGGGTTAGGGTTGGAGTTAGGGTTAGTGTTGGAGCTAGGGTTAGGGTTGGGCTTGGAGCTAGGATTTTTCTGAGTGCAATGAACCAACTCCCGAGTCTCTAGGACGTTCCTAAAAAAATTTGATTTTTTCCCATAGGAATGCATGGGTTATGGTTAGGGTTAGGGTTGGAGCTAGGGTTAGGGTTAGGGTTAGGGTTAGGGTTGGAGTTAGGGTTAGTGTTGGGGCTAGGGTTAGGGTTGGGCTTGGAGCTAGGATTTTTCTGAGTGCAATGAACCAACTCCCGAGTCTCTAGGACGTTCCTAAAAAAATTTGATTTTTTCCCATAGGAATGCATGGGTTAGGGTTAGGGTTAGGGTTGGAGCTAGGGTTAGGGTTAGGGTTAGGGTTGGAGATAGGGTTAGTGTTGGAGCTAGGGTTAGGGTTGGGCTTGGAGCTAGGATTTTTCTGAGTGCAATGAACCAACTCCCGAGTCTCTAGGACGTTCCTAAAAAAATTTGTTTTTTTCCCATAGGAATGCATGGGTCAGGGTTAGGGTTAGGGTTGGAGCTAGGGTTAGGGTTAGGGTTAGGGTTGGAGTTAGGGTTAGTGTTGGAGCTAGGGTTAGGGTTGGGCTTGGAGCTAGGATTTTTCTGAGTGCACTGAACCAACTCCCGAGTCTCTAGGACATTCCTAAAAAAATTTGATTTTTTCCCATAGGAATGCATGGGTTAGGGTTAGGGTTAGGGTTGGAGCTAGGGTTAGGGTTAGGGTTAGGGTTGGAGTTAGGGTTAGTGTTGGAGCTAGGGTTAGGGTTGGGCTTGGAGCTAGGATTTTTCTGAGTGCACTGAACCAACTCCCGAGTCTCTAGGACATTCCTAAAAAAATTTGATTTTTTCCCATAGGAATGCATGGGTTAGGGTTATGGTTAGGGTTAGGGTTGGAGCTAGGGTTAGGGTTAGGGTTAGGGTTGGAGTTAGGGTTGGTGTTGGAGCTAGGGTTAGGGTTGGGCTTTGAGCTAGGACTTTTCTGAGTGCAATGAACCAACTCCCGAGTCTCTAGGACGTTCCCTAAAAAAATTTGATTTTTTCCCATAGGAATGCATGGGTTAGGGTTAGGGTTAGGGTTAGGGTTGGAGCTAGGGTTAGGGTTAGGGTTAGGGTTGGAGTTAGGGTTAGTGTTGGAGCTAGGGTTAGGGTTGGGCTTGGAGCTAGGATTTTTCTGAGTGCAATGAACCAACTCCCGAGTCTCTAGGACGTTCCAAAAAAAATTTGATTTTTTCCCATAGGAATGCATGGGTTAGGGTTATGGTTAGGGTTAGGGTTGGAGCTAGGGTTAGGGTTAGGGTTAGGGTTGGAGTTAGGGTTAGTGTTGGCGCTAGGGTTAGGGTTGGGCTTGGAGCTAGGATTTTTCTGAGTGCAATGAACCAACTCCCGAGTCTCTAGGACGTTCCTAAAAAAATTTGATTTTTTCCCATAGGAATGCATGGGTTAGGGTTAGGGTTAGGGTTGGAGCTAGGGTTAGGGTTAGGGTTAGGGTTGGAGATAGGGTTAGTGTTGGAGCTAGGGTTAGGGTTGGGCTTGGAGCTAGGATTTTTCTGAGTGCAATGAACCAACTCCCGAGTCTCTAGGACGTTCCTAAAAAAATTTGATTTTTTCCCATAGGAATGCATGGGTCAGGGTTAGGGTTAGGGTTGGAGCTAGGGTTAGGGTTAGGGTTAGGGTTGGAGTTAGGGTTAGTGTTGGAGCTAGGGTTAGGGTTGGGCTTGGAGCTAGGATTTTTCTGAGTGCACTGAACCAACTCCCGAGTCTCTAGGACATTCCTAAAAAAATTTGATTTTTTCCCATAGGAATGCATGGGTTAGGGTTAGGGTTAGGGTTGGAGCTAGGGTTAGGGTTAGGGTTAGGGTTGGAGTTAGGGTTAGTGTTGGAGCTAGGGTTAGGGTTGGGCTTGGAGCTAGGATTTTTCTGAGTGCACTGAACCAACTCCCGAGTCTCTAGGACATTCCTAAAAAAATTAGATTTTTTCCCATAGGAATGCATGGGTTAGGGTTATGGTTAGGGTTAGGGTTGGAGCTAGGGTTAGGGTTAGGGTTAGGGTTGGAGTTAGGGTTGGTGTTGGAGCTAGGGTTAGGGTTGGGCTTTGAGCTAGGACTTTTCTGAGTGCAATGAACCAACTCCCGAGTCTCTAGGACGTTCCCTAAAAAAATTTGATTTTTTCCCATAGGAATGCATGGGTTAGGGTTAGGGTTAGGGTTAGGGTTGGAGCTAGGGTTAGGGTTAGGGTTAGGGTTAGAGTTAGGGTTAGTGTTGGAGCTAGGGTTAGGGTTGGGCTTGGAGCTAGGATTTTTCTGAGTGCACTGAACCAACTCCCGAGTCTCTAGGACATTCCTAAAAAAAATTGACTTTTTCCCATAGGAATGCATGGGTTAGGGTTAGGGTTAGGGTTAGGGTTGGAGCTAGGGTTAGGGTTAGGGTTAGGGTTGGAGTTAGGGTTAGTGTTGGAGCTAGGGTTAGGGTTGGGCTTGGAGCTAGGACTTTTCTGAGTGCAATGAACCAACTCCCGAGTCTCTAGGACGTTCCCTAAAAAAATTTGATTTTTTCCCATAGGAATGCATGGGTTAGGGTTAGGTGTGGGGTTGGAGCTAGGGTTAGGGTTAGGGTTAGGGTTGGAGTTAGGGTTAGTGTTGGAGCTAGGGTTAGGTTTGGGCTTGGAGCTAGGATTTTTCTGAGTGCAATGAACCAACTCCCGAGTCTCTAGGACGTTCCTAAAAAATTTTGATTTTTTCCCATAGGAATGCATGGGTTAGGGTTAGGGTTAGGGTTGGAGCTAGGGTTAGGGTTAGGGTTAGGGTTGGAGTTAGGGTTAGTGTTGGAGCTAGGGTTAGGGTTGGGCTTGGAGCTAGGATTTTTCTGAGTGCAATGAACCAACTCCCGAGTCTCTAGGAAGTTCCTAAAAAAATTTGATTTTTTCCCATAGGAATGCATGGGTTAGGGTTAGGGTTAGGGTTGGAGCTAGGGTTAGGGTTAGGGTTAGGGTTGGAGTTAGGGTTAGTGTTGGAGCGAGGGTTAGGGTTGGGCTTGGAGCTAGGATTTTTCTGAGTGCAATGAACCAACTCCCGAGTCTCTAGGACGTTCCTAAAAAAATTTGATTTTTTCCCATAGGAATGCATGGGTTAGGGTTAGGGTTAGGGTTGGAGCTAGGGTTAGGGTTAGGGTTAGGGTTGGAGTTAGGGTTAGTGTTGGAGCTAGGGTTAGGGTTGGGCTTGGAGCTAGGATTTTTCTGAGTGCAATGAACCAACTCCCGAGTCTCTAGGACGTTCCTAAAAAAATTTGATTTTTTCCCATAGGAATGCATGGGTTAGGGTTAGGGTTAGGGTTGGAGCTAGGGTTAGGGTTAGGGTTAGGGTTGGAGTTAGGGTTAGTGTTAGAGCTAGGGTAAGGTTTGGGCTTGGAGCTAGGATTTTTCTGAGTGCAATGAACCAACTCCCGAGTCTCTAGGACGTTCCTAAAAAAATTTGATTTTTTTCCATAGGAATGCATGGGTTAGGGTTATGGTTAGGGTTAGGGTTGGAGCTAGGGTTAGGGTTAGGGTTAGGGTTGGAGTTAGGGTTAGTGTTGGAGCTAGGGTTAGGGTTGGGCTTGGAGCTAGGATTTATCTGAGTGCAATGAACCAACTCCCGAGTCTCTAGGACGTTCCTAAAAAAATTTGATTTTTTCCCATAGGAATGCATGGGTTAGGGTTAGGGTTAGGGTTGGAGCTAGGGTTAGGGTTAGGGTTAGGGTTGCAGTTAGGGTTAGTGTTGGAGCTAGGGTAAGGTTTGGGCTTGGAGCTAGGATTTTTCTGAGTGCAATGAACCAACTCCCGAGTCTCTAGGACGTTCCTAAAAAAATTTGATTTTTTTCCATAGGAATGCATGGGTTAGGGTTAGGGTTGGAGCTAGTGTTAGGGTTAGGGTTGGAGCTAGGGTTAGGGTTAGGGTTAGGGTTGGAGTTAGGGTTAGTGTTGGAGCTAGGGTTAGGGTTGGGCTTGGAGCTAGGATTTTTCTGAGTGCAATGAACCAACTCCCGAGGCTCTTGGACGTTCCTAAAAAAATTAGATTTTTTCCCATAGGAATGCATGGGTTAGGGTTAGGGTTAGGGTTGGAGCTAGGGTTAGGGTTAGGGTTAGGGTTGGAGTTAGGGTTAGTGTTGGAGCTAGGGTTAGGGTTGGGCTTGGAGCTAGGATTTTTCTGAGTGCAATGAACCAACTCCCGAGTCTCTAGGACGTTCCTAAAAAAATTTGATTTTTTCCCATAGGAATGCATGGGTTAGGGTTAGGGTTAGGGTTGGAGCTAGGGTTAGGGTTAGGGTTAGGGTTGGAGTTAAGGTTAGTGTTGGAGCTAGGGTTAGGGTTGGGCTTGGAGCTAGGATTTTTCTGAGTGCAGTGAACCAACTCCCGAGTCTCTAGGACGTTCCTAAAAAAATTTGATTTTTTCCCATAGGAATGCATGGGTTAGGGTTATGGTTAGGGTTAGGGTTGGAGCTAGGGTTAGGGTTAGGGTTAGGGTTGGAGTTAGGGTTAGTGTTGGAGCTAGGGTTAGGGTTGGGCTTGGAGCTAGGATTTTTCTGAGTGCAATGAACCAACTCCCGAGTCTCTAGGACGTTCCTAAAAAAATTTGATTTTTTCCCATAGGAATGCATGGGTTAGGGTTAGGGTTAGGGTTGGAGCTAGGGTTAGGGTTAGGGTTGGAGTTAGGGTTAGTGTTGGAGCTAGGGTTAGGGTTGGGCTTGGAGCTAGGATTTTTCTGAGTGCACTGAACCAACTCCCGAGTCTCTAGGACATTCCTAAAAAAATTTGATTTTTTCCCATAGGAATGCATGGGTTAGGGTTATGGTTAGGGTTAGGGTTGGAGCTAGGGTTAGGGTTAGGGTTAGGGTTGGAGTTAGGGTTAGTGTTGGAGCTAGGGTTAGGGTTGGGCTTGGAGCTAGGATTTTTCTGAGTGCAATGAACCAACTCCCGAGTCTCTAGGACGTTCCTAAAAAAATTTGATTTTTTCCCATAGGAATGCATGGGTTAGGGTTAGGGTTAGGGTTGGAGCTAGGGTTAGGGTTAGGGTTAGGGTTGGAGTTAGGGTTAGTGTTAGAGCTAGGGTAAGGTTTGGGCTTGGAGCTAGGATTTTTCTGAGTGCAATGAACCAACTCCCGAGTCTCTAGGACGTTCCTAAAAAAATTTGATTTTTTCCCATAGGAATGCATGGGTTAGGGTTAGGGTTAGGGTTGGAGCTAGGGTTAGGGTTAGGGTTAGGGTTGCAGTTAGGGTTAGTGTTGGAGCTAGGGTAAGGTTTGGGCTTGGAGCTAGGATTTTTCTGAGTGCAATGAACCAACTCCCGAGTCTCTAGGACGTTCCTAAAAAAATTTGATTTTTTTCCCATAGGAATGCATGGGTTAGGGTTATGGTTAGGGTTAGGGTTGGAGCTAGGGTTAGGGTTAGGGTTAGGGTTGGAGTTAGGGTTAGTGTTGGAGCTAGGGTTAGGGTTGGGCTTGGAGCTAGGATTTATCTGAGTGCAATGAACCAACCCCCGAGTCTCTAGGACGTTCCTAAAAAAATTTGATTTTTTCCCATAGGAATGCATGGGTTAGGGTTATGGTTAGCGTTAGGGTTGGAGCTAGGGTTAGGGTTAGGGTTAGGGTTGGAGTTAGGGTTAGTGTTGGAGCTAGGGTTAGGGTTGGGCTTGGAGCTAGGATTTTTCTGAGTGCACTGAACCAACTCCCGAGTCTCTAGGACGTTCCTAAAAAAATTTGATTTTTTCCCATAGGAATGCATGGGTCAGGGTTAGGGTTAGGGTTGGAGCTAGGGTTAGGGTTAGGGTTAGGGTTGGAGTTAGGGTTAGTGTTGGAGCTAGGGTTAGGGTTGGGCTTGGAGCTAGGATTTTTCTGAGTGCAATGAACCAACTCCCGAGTCTCTAGGACGTTCCTAAAAAAATTTGATTTTTTCCCATAGGAATGCATGGGTTAGGGTTAGGGTTAGGGTTAGGGTTGGAGCTAGGGTTAGGGTTAGGGTTAGGGTTGGAGTTAGGGTTAGTGTTGGAGCTAGGGTTAGGGTTGGGCTTGGAGCTAGGATTTTTCTGAGTGCAATGAACCAACTCCCGAGTCTCTAGGACGTTCCTAAAAAAATTTGATTTTTTCCCATAGGAATGCATGGGTTAGGGTTAGGGTTAGGGTTGGAGCTAGGGTTAGGGTTAGGGTTAGGGTTGGAGTTAGGGTTAGTGTTGGAGCTAGGGTTAGGGTTGGGCTTGGAGCTAGGATTTTTCTGAGTGCAATGAACCAACTCCCGAGTCTCTAGGACGTTCCTAAAAAAATTTGATTTTTTCCCATAGGAATGCATGGGTTAGGGTTAGGGTTAGGGTTGGAGCTAGGGTTAGGGTTAGGGTTAGGGTTGGAGTTAGGGTTAGTGTTGGAGCTAGGGTTAGGGTTGGGCTTGGAACTAGGACTTTTCTGAGTGCAATGAACCAACTCCCGAGTCTCTAGGACGTTCCCTAAAAAAATTTGATTTTTTCCCATAGGAATGCATGGGTTAGGGTTAGGGTTAGGGTTGGAGCTAGGGTTAGGGTTAGGGTTAGGGTTAGAGTTAGGGTTAGTGTTGGAGCTAGGGTTAGGGTTGGGCTTGGAGCTAGGATTTTTCTGAGTGCACTGAACCAACTCCCGAGTCTCTAGGACGTTCCTAAAAAAATTTGATTTTTTCCCATAGGAATGCATGGGTTAGGGTTAGGGTTAGGGTTGGAGCTAGGGTAAGGGTTAGGGTTAGGGTTGGAGTTAGGGTTAGTGTTGGAGCTAGGGTTAGGGTTGGGCTTGGAGCTAGGACTTTTCTGAGTGCAATGAACCAACTCCCGAGTCTCTAGGACGTTCCCTAATAAAATTTGATTTTTTCCCATAGGAATGCATGGGTTAGGGTTAGGGTTAGGGTTGGAGCTAGGGTTAGGGTTAGGGTTAGGGTTGGAGTTAGGGTTAGTGTTGGAGCTAGGGTTAGGGTTGGGCTTGGAGCTAGGATTTTTCTGAGTGCACTGAACCAACTCCCGAGTCTCTAGGACATTCCTAAAAAAATTTGATTTTTTCCCATAGGAATGCATGGGTTAGGGTTATGGTTAGGGTTAGGGTTGGAGCTAGGGTTAGGGTTAGGGTTAGGGTTGGAGTTAGGGTTAGTGTTGGAGCTAGGGTTAGGGTTGGGCTTGGAGCTAGGATTTTTCTGAGTGCAATGAACCAACTCCCGAGTCTCTTGGACATTCCTAAAAAAATTTGATTTTTTCCCATAGGAATGCATGGGTTAGGGTTAGGGTTAGGGTTGGAGCTAGGGTTAGGGTTAGGGTTAGGGTTGGAGTTAGGGTTAGTGTTGGAGCTAGGGTTAGGGTTGGGCTTGGAGCTAGGATTTTTCTGAGTGCAATGAACCAACTCCCGAGTCTCTAGGACGTTCCTAAAAAAATTTGATTTTTTCCCATAGGAATGCATGGGTTAGGGTTAGGGTTAGGGTTAGGGTTGGAGCTAGGGTTAGGGTTAGGGTTAGGGTTGGAGTTAGGGTTAGTGTTGGAGCTAGGGTTAGGGTTGGGCTTGGAGCTAGGATTTTTCTGAGTGCAATGAACCAACCCCGAGTCTCTAGGACGTTCCTAAAAAAATTTGATTTTTTCCCATAGGAATGCATGGGTTAGGGTTATGGTTAGGGTTAGGGTTGGAGCTAGGGTTAGGGTTAGGGTTAGGGTTGGAGTTAGGGTTAGTGTTGGAGCTAGGGTTAGGGTTGGGCTTGGAGCTAGGATTTTTCTGAGTGCACTGAACCAACTCCCGAGTCTCTAGGACATTCCTAAAAAAAATTGATTTTTTCCCATAGGAATGCATGGGTTAGGGTTAGGGTTAGGGTTGGAGCTAGGGTTAGGGTTAGGGTTGGAGTTAGGGTTAGTGTTGGAGCTAGGGTTAGGGTTGGGCTTGGAGCTAGGACTTTTCTGAGTACAATGAACCAACTCCCGAGTCTCTAGGACGTTCCCTAAAAAAATTTGATTTTTTCCCATAGGAATGCATGGGTTAGGGTTAGGGTTAGGGTTGGAGCTAGGGTTAGGGTTAGGGTTAGGGTTGGAGTTAGGGTTAGTGTTGGAGCTAGGGTTAGGGTTGGGCTTGGAGCTAGGATTTTTCTGAGTGCACTGAACCAACTCCCGAGTCTCTAGGACATTCCTAAAAAAATTTGATTTTTTCCCATAGGAATGCATGGGTTAGGGTTATGGTTAGGGTTAGGGTTGGAGCTAGGGTTAGGGTTAGGGTTAGGGTTGGAGTTAGGGTTAGTGTTGGAGCTAGGGTTAGGGTTGGGCTTGGAGCTAGGATTTTTCTGAGTGCAATGAACCAACTCCTGAGTCTCTAGGACTTTCCTAAAAAAATTTGATTTTTTCCCATAGGAATGCATGGGTTAGGGTTAGGGTTAGGGTTAGGGTTGGAGCTAGGGTTAGGGTTAGGGTTAGGGTTGGAGTTAGGGTTAGTGTTGGAGCTAGGGTTAGGGTTGGGCTTGGAGCTAGGATTTTTCTGAGTGCAATGAACCAACCCCTAGTCTCTAGGACGTTCCTAAAAAAATTTGATTTTTTCCCATAGGAATGCATGGGTTAGGGTTATGGTTAGGGTTAGGGTTGGAGCTAGGGTTAGGGTTAGGGTTAGGGTTGGAGTT